GTACACATACATATATATATAAATAAGCATAGAATTAAATTTAGGAGTATTGCTCTGTAGCCCACACAAGTTGGAATTTATGTAGAGAAGAATCTTGATTCTGAAACATTTATTGTATTGACTGTCTAGTATTTTCTAGCATCCCCGTAGGCACCGCGGATTCAAAAATATTACTAAAGTAAGATCTCCAGCTTTGTAAGAGCTCATGTTGAGTGTGAGAAACTACTGTGTTGAAATGTTCAGCGTGAATAAAAGTGGCCAAAAAAAAAAAAGTTATTAATTGCTTCTAAGATAGAGAAGTCTTCAGAAGTGAGGTGGAATTTGAGTGGTCTTGAAATATGAGTAGGTATTTACTTGGAAGATAAAAAGGAACATAAAGAAGGGGGGGTCTAGACAGAGAGAACAATTGGTGCAAAAGCACAGTGGTAGGAAACTGCATGGTACGTTTAAGCAGGTGTCATCAGACAGACAGCAGCAGGAGGCAGGTTAGAAAGGTAGACAAGGGTCAGTTCAAGAAGGGTCTTGTATGCAAAATCAAGAACTTTGCTTTTCCAGTAGATGACAGGAGCCTTTGCAATGGGTGTTTTGAATGGATTCTAATTACCATTGAAAAATTAAACATTTGAAGAATAACATCTAAGTGGATAGGTTAAATTAACTGCAACTGTTTATTTCAAAAACAGGATGGGAATGAGAAGGGAACTTTCACTCTGTGAGAGGTTGTTATGTACAGGATAGTGACCAGTTATTTTCAGTTCCCACTGAGGATGAAGCAAGAAGAAATAAGCTTACATCTCAGCAGAAGGGAAAATTACCTACAGAAGGGGTCCTTCACAGAAAGATTGAATGTGACTGACGTAGATCATTAAATTGTTGTCTGAGGCTCTCTGGCTGTGTGCTGGCTTCTGTGTACTCAAACAGCCCAATTTCAAAGATGTGGCAAGACTGGAGATTTTCAAGCCTGAATGAGGATATTTGGAATAAATAAATTTCTTATGTGTCAATTAGTTATTGAGAAATTTTGCTATATACCAAACTAAATTTTGGAGATATACTTGAACATATAAAATATATTTAGTATCTTTTATAATGTAGCATTGATATTTGCTAGGAAAAAGAAACGACCGACATTAGCTATAGAAATAGGTGTCCTATTAAAGGTACTTTGTATTCATGTACCATTTTAGAAAGTTATTAAAGATTAGGTAGATAGAATTAATTTAAATTCAGTTATTAATCTTTATGTGTAACATTTATTGGTCGGATGATTACAATTAAAATTGCTGTATGTGGTTTATTAACTGATGGCAACTGATCAGTTAATACAGTGACTCACTCTGTCTTATTTTCATTATCATCTGATGATAACTGAGCTTATTACAATAATATAAAACTATTTTTTACCTTTTTCAAATATTACCTGTTTCTAGAACTGCTGTTTGTGTTTTTAGTGTTTGAAGATATATAAAAGAAGATTGTAGAGTGGCCATTTTGTTCATCCTTTTGCATCTTATAAAAATAAGTCATATCTGTCTCTCCCTGCCTGTCACGGCTAGTGAGAGGAAGAGAGGAAAAACATACAGGGATGCAAAAAGGCACTTTGCTTCTGGCTAGAGCAGACCTTGAGATGCATACGGTACAATCACCACTAAGACTTAGGCAGTCTAAGGCAGTCTAGGCAACTATTAACTGGATATTTCATGTTAATGTAATATTTTAACATAATTTCATGTTAAACAGCTATCAAATGGAAATCAATTATATTTCTTAATAAACTAACTCAAACACTTTGGAACTGACTTGTACATACTCAGATTAGATTACTCTTGTTCTACCCCAAGAGATGTGCATATCTAACTAGTACACTTAGAAGAGCAAATTATTGGATAAATGTCTTTAACCAGTAGAACTGATGACAATAAATGTTTTTAGTTGCCTTCTGTGCTGACATTGAACAACATGATAGGGCCTGAGAGAGATACAATGGATAAAGTGTGAATGGTGTAGGCTTGGTGAGACCGAAGGCACAGTAGTACAAAATAAATACACTTCAATAAGTAAAAATTATTTTCCATTATATTTTAATATTGTATATATTTTTAAAATAATTAGTCTAAGGTCCCTCACACACATAAAGGTTTAAAAGACCATCCATTTGTCATGATTTCCTGTCAGTTTGAAACATTAAAATAGTCTCCGTGTGTGAGATTTTTTTTTTTTTTAAAGCAAATATTACAATACATTAAGCAGCTTGTCTCCCAGACCAACTAAGGTACTTCTCAACTTGATGAGACAGACATTTGGCCACGTTTGCCCATTCTTTGAAGGGAGTATTATCATTCTAAAAAAAAAATACATGCAAATAGCCGGTTGCGGTGGTGGGCACCTGTAATCCCAGCTGCTCAGGAGGCTGAGGCAGGAGAATCACTTGAACCTGTGAGGCTAAGGTTGTGGTGAACCGAGATTGTGCTGTCGCACTCCAGCCTGGGCAACAGAGCGAGACTCCGTCTCAAAAAATAATAAATTAAATAAATAAATAAATGCATAGTCTGTCTAAAAGTCTTTATCATTTTATGGAAGATACAAATACATTTAACTGATGTTATATCTTTTTCAAATGTAACCATTAACTCTACTAGCTTTTGTAACAAATTGTTAATGGACCAGATACTGAATAAATATTTATTAATAAATACAATTTTTGAAAATTAAGCACTTATAAGTATGCTTGCAAAAAACTGAAATGTTTTTTATTACGTAACGATGTAAAACATGTGAAAAAGAAAAAAATCACCCATAAAATTGACATATGAACACAGTGCTATTTTTCTGTTTTTGTATTTCCTTTTCAGTGTTAGCCATGTGCATTTTATTGTAAACTATAATGCACTTGTACAATTTAATGTCCTAAAAAACTAGGTGAGTTTTTGTTTTTGTTTTGTATTGTGTTCTTTTTTTAAAAAAAAATTGTTTTTGTCTCCAAAGCGTTCATAAAATACATAGGAATTTCCTTTCCTTTGGGAAGAGGTACTGCAATTTTTTCTAAGTACTTAATGTTTTCAGAATTTTAGGATTTAGGTGGTTAGTGAACTTGTGACGAAAAAGAAAATGTTAATTTCTTTTTTATTTGGCATATCCGGCATACTGTAAAAACGATGCACTTTGTAAACACATCACACAGTAATCCCAGGTAAAGACCCCCCTTTAGGAATGTGAGCCTCCCAAGATTCCTCTACAGGTGCTGTCCTTACTTAAGAAAAAAAAAAAAAAACCCTTGAGGGTTTGTGTTGCTTTTTGTTCTTATAGCTTGTCCTTGAGTTGTGTCATTTCTATTTTATAGTAGGTAAAAGTGTTTAATGGATCAGCATGATAATATAAAATTTTAAATATTTTTCTTATGTGGCATAAAGTAATCCCAGAAATTTTAAAAGAAATCATTGTGACCTCTTGAACTATCAACATTTTGCCTCCTGTGGCTGTTTGTTTGGAACCTTGAGACTAATATTTCTTCTAAGTTGTTTACATCATTGAGATGTAAGTAGTTCTTAAAAACCTGTAGAACAAAACAGATCCAGTATGGGCCTGATTTATTAAATGCCATGTTTTTCTTTCTTAGTCACTAAAACAATAAGGATTAATTTATTCTGTAATTACCTAAATATCCTGTACAGCCTTTTCATAAACTTGTTTGTGAAAAATACTCATTTATTCTAAACAGAGTAATCTTTAAAGCTAAAAAACTCCAAATCAGTATGAACATCAGTGGACAACCCATCATCTAAGGATTATAGAATTAAAACATCCAATAGAATGAGAAAACTTGATACTTTATGCTGTATTTATGCTTTGTTTCTAAGTAAATCCTTGATTTTATTTGCAGCTTAGTCTAGCATGAGAATTATATTAAAGCACTAGATTCTCTGTTTGCTTTTTTTTTTTTTTTTTTTTTTTTTTTTTTT